ATCCAATCGGCCAATCAGAGGGAGCAGAGGTCAGAATGGAGCAGATGAAGGAGGACTTGGAGGAGGAGTTCGCGGCCATCTTGTTTTATTGAAGATGCTATGGAGGTCCTGTGTGCGGCGGTTTCGGGTCCTTGAAGATGGCGGACGAGGCACAGGTACTCATTTTTTTGTATCGGAGTATTTGCACGAGTACGAGTATCGATGCTTGTATCAGTATCGGAGCATCCCTAATATATATATATATATTTATTTATTTTTCTTTCTGGAAAATATTATTTTGGGGAATGAATGAATGAATGAACCTTGGATGCAGCAGGACTGGGAGTGCAAGGGAATTTGACAATTCATATTTACAATGTAACTAAAACCAAAACTTTTTCTTTTTTTTATAGTTTTGGATAGAGTAGTCAGGAGTTAGACCAGGGGTAGCCAAACTCCGGCCCTCCAGCTGTGGTGAAACTTCAAATCTTATAAGGCATTGCAAGACTCTGACAGCCACAGGCATGACTTCGAGCGGAAGATGCATGATATAGTTTCACCACAGCAGGAGGCCCAAGGTTTGGCTACTCCTGGGTCAGGTTTTCATTGCTGTCTATGTCCCAGCTCGGCAAATTCACTCCCTCTATCTGTCCAGAGGACTGTCATCACTAGGGACTGAAACTGAGGCAAAATCCACAATTTTGTGTAGTCACCAGAACAGGCATAGAGGAAAAATCTCCCAATGGGGATACATGTTTCTGTGTTAACTGTCTACAAGGGGATTTCCCTCATTTTGATGGTTTTCTTTTCTATGCCTGTTGTGTCTACAGGACAAGAAGAAGTGAAGAGAAATATCTCCAATGGAGAGAAATCTTCCAAAAAAATTCTGACAAAGGTTTAAACCATCGCCTTCTTTATCAAAAATAAATAAAATGATGGCTTTTACTTTAAGATCATTTCCTGTCACACTGATGCCCATACACAAGCAGTTTTGTGGTTTCTTGGTTGTAGAGAGCCCAGTCTTCAAAAATTGTGGTCATCTTTGATGAGCAACAAACCTGACAAATATCACTTATTACACGTTAGTTAGTGCTCGACGATTGGCATTGGCACAGTGCTCCAGAGTGCTGCCTTACCCTAATGCCCCCTTTACACAAACCTTGCCTGTTAACCTGTCATACCAATCTCCTCTTAAAGTGAACCTGTGCCCAGACAATGCACACAAAAGGATTTACATATTCTGAACAAGCCTGATCCACGCTCCCCGGCAGTCAGCACTCACCTCTCTTCCCTATGGTCCAGCTTGTGGACTGTCCCCTTAGCATCAACACATTTAATGCAGGGCTATTTCATAGCAAGTGCACAGGGGGGAAGAGGCTGCAGGTGCCAGTCTTGGAGTGTCAGGATCCAGAGCACCCCCAGGTAGCGCTGGAGCCGGGTCCTGCAGTTCCTGTGCTGGCCTGGGGGTGTCTCCAGGACCCAGGAACTGTCAGGAACCTGCAGCTCCAGTGCTCACCTGCGGGTGTGCCCCAGCTGTGACTGATCATCCCATCACCTGGTGCTTCCTGGGAGGGTATTTAGGCCCTCCCTGCAGTCAGGAAGCTGGCTCAGTATTGCGTCGCCTGCACCTGACTGACTCCCCTGGCCTGTGCCTTGCTACCTGAACCCTGCTACCTGAACCCTGCTACCTATCTGCAACCCTGTCACCGACCCGGCTTGTTACCCGACCACTCTCCTTGAATCCTGTTCCTGTACCGCGCTGCTCTCCTGTTAACGACCCGGCTTGTACCTGACCACTCTTCTTGTATCCTGAGGCCTGCCGTATATCTGCAGGGCTGTTACCCCTCCTTGTTGCTATTCCCCCTGGCTGTAGGTGTGTGTTTGTCCCAACGGTGGGTTTGTTACTTCACTGCTAAACCTGTGGGGGGTTGAGGGGGTTTGTAGTTTTGTTGATGTGTAACAAATAAACTGTGTGCATAGAACCCTATCCTGTGTGGGCATATTAATTTGGTCATCCTGCGTGGGTACCTACATGTGGTGTGAGGACGCCTGTGCATGGTACCCTGACATGGAGTCAGCAGGAGTGGGATTCAGGCAAGTAAAAGTGCTTTACACCAGTTCCTTAGACATAAGCGAGCAGTGAACCCTTGCAGAACTAGGGTAGCCCCACTGCAAGGGAAGTTTTTTTGTTTCCCTGAATTATCTGTAAAAAAAATAAGTGAAGGCAACTGGACTTGCTGTATTTTTCTTGAAGAAGTTTCACTGGTCATCCAACCAGCTTTCTCAATTCAGAATGACTACAAAAATTATCTGGGAATAAATATGGTGAATGTTGCTCCAATCCACATAATCGGTTAGTCGTAACCAGGTGTTGATTGCATTTGCATAATTGGAGCTAGGAGGTGTTAATAACCTGCCCAGAGAGAGGGGCAGGTTATTATTAGTAATTTCCCTGAATTAGTTTTCAGCGAATGTCTAACTGTTTAAAAGGGTTGACCACATTGCCATTACAAGTTAAACTGATCACACTGGTGCACTATACAATATTGTACTGTGGAAAAGTTTGGTTAAGTGTGATTAAGTATAAAATAAAAAGAACGGGAACTGAATGTGTTGCTGGTAGTAACCAGCCAGATGCTTGCTTTCATCTTATGTTGAGCAAAAAGTAAATGATCGCTGGAACCTGACTGCATGCCAGGCGAATTAATCCACTTTAAATTCTTAGTTCTTTGCATATGAGGACATTCGGTTGCCTATGTAGCCTTATATTTGGTCTTACTCTTAGATTACTAACCTGGGGATGAGGCCTGGTAGATGATTGTGTCTCCATCTTTTTCTGGAACAACCGTGTGACATACAGCAAGCAGAGTTAGGAATTCCTTGATCACCAGGGCTGCGGGCTGACATTGAGAGGTTGTGGTGAAGTAAAATCTACTACATAAGCAATACAAACAGAATACACATAAAACTATCTTAGGTAGAAGACAACTAAAAATGTAATCTCATAAGTATGGGCAACTTAAAGGTACAGTACATTTCGGAAATATGCATTCTTGTTCATATGAAGAGTGAGCACTTTGTCAACAGAGATTGGCCAGAAGAAATCCACCCCAGCCAATCAGCTCCTGACCAGTGAAGACACAGCACTGGAGTGATGGGGATGGCCTATATACACATGAACATTCTGTTGTCTGACCATACCAAAAATAGATGGATTGGGAAAACATTCTCAATGACTTTGGGTCCCCTTATAAGTTTTTAAAAATATGCCAAGTGTTTTAACTGCAAACAAGATGTAGTGGTCCTGTGATGATGACTTATGTTGCCCTTCTCACTTGTTTAAGCTGAGAGGCTGCCAGCTGAACAAGCCTTTAAGGGAAATGTAAATTGCATTTAACCCCATATCTCTATACAAAACAAAAGTGTGTACTGTATTATATTGTAATGTTACAACACAGTATGGATTTAGTTAAATGGTTTTAGGAGTAGACAGATACAGGAGTAGATATAACATTAACTACAGACCATTTGCTCTTGGTATGCGTATCTTGAGAACCTGATCTGCTAGTAGCATCAGATGTGCTCCAAGTTAAATGCCATTAACAGTGATTAATTTCTAACCTGTAAAAGGTTGTAGCACTATTTGTCCAAAGGTTAAGTTATAAAACTTAGAGTACTACTATACTTAAACCAAAACAAAGTTTGAGTAGAGCTTCTAATAGCTTTCCATTTATATAAGAGTCATATGTATCCATCTACGCCATAACAATAATGTAGGGCTGGTAATGATAAAAATTTTCGTGTTCCATTAATGGAAATATTTTTTAATCGATTAATTATAACGCACATACAGATCCAACTACATTGGCCTATACACATACAGCACAGCAATGAAGTAATAAAATGAACTAGGATCACACTAATCCAGCACGTTATTAATCTCACGTGCCACACTCAATATAGCCGCCGCTTGAGTGGGGCAACTCAGAATAATAACGTGCTGGATTAGTGTGATCCTGGTTCATTTTATTACTTAATTGCTGTGCTCTATGTGTATAGGCCAATGCCTTGGCTGGCGCTCGTGCAGAATGTTTCTTGGGCCCAAGTGGCTCCATCGGCTAACAAATGGGGGGGGTGGGGGGTGTCTGGTGACGTCACGGACATCAACGTCACCGGACTCCTCCCCCCCTTCCCTTCGTTAGCCGTCACGGACATCGACGTCACCGGACACCTCCCCCCTTCCCTTCGTTAGCTGACAGAGCCACTTGGGGAAGGGGGGAGGAGTCTCCCCAACGGGACTCCCGGAAGCCGGCAGAGAGGTGAGTGTTTTCATTAGCGATCAAAATAATTTTAATCGATCAAAAAGTTTAACGATTAATCGAGAAATTAATCTTTAATTTCCACAGCCCTACAATAATGTATTTAATATTATCATCAAGAAGTACATCCTCCTAATAGTTTGACAGGTCCAGATGTAGATCTGTTTCATAAATCAAACATTCAAAATATGTCTAGTCAATATCAGAGATCCTGCAACCACCACTACTAGTTTGTGGGCATTCAATATTGTTATAGCATACAACAGCCAAAGCACCATTATGGCATTGTTGGCTTTGGTAATGATAGCAGCACCAGAAGGAGCCTGGAGCAGCATTTTCTCCAGGCAAGGTATGCATTTCTAATAGTCTTTGTAAATCTATTTAAACACGTATGTTAACATTTTTTAAATTATTATTTGATAGGTCCTCTTTTAAAACTTCTCATTATAAACTGATGTATGAAAACTGCAAAACGGTCCTATAAGAGAAATAAGACAGTTTCAAATATTTTATAGACCTAGGGCTATTAGAACAGCCACCGCTGAGTAGTATCACATTCCTGACAAATAGGATTCACAGACATCAGACACCTTACACAGCCAAACAGGGTGGCTTCACCTCCAGTATCTACTCATCCAGTGTAACCTTCTATGTCTTGTCAGTGGCGTCACACGAGGAATGCCTCAAATACCATTTAAACAGTGTAAGTGTTACTCGGATAACAGCAGCCATTTAATTAGGTTTATCATAAATCACCTTCTGGTCTCTGTTCCGGCAGGAGTCATTATCCAGCTACACATACTGTTTAATCTGCATTCCGCTGAGGTATCTAGCTAAATGGATTGTTTAAAGAAGCCATTCGTAGCAGATACAAAGGGTAAACAGTATACAAAAGGGAGAAACATGTGCTCATTTTCTACAGCAACCAATCAAAATCTTTGTTTCTCTTTCAAAGTTTTAGAAAGTTTGACAACTGAAGGCTGACTGGTTCCTATAGGCAGCAAGAATATATTAACTTAAAGCACAAAAGCCCCAGTGTCCCATAATAGTAATGCACAGTACATGTAACACAGCATTCCTATTTAGGCAGTATTATCATTCACATGCATGAGTGCATGAGGACCATGGAGCCATGGGTCAGAGCCCATGAATGCTTATCTCCACCCAAATATCATCAAATGCAAACTCCAGTAACTTACTTATTGCAAATTTAACTTACCTGACAAGGCATTTAAATATGCATATCGTAGGTTCACTTTTCTAAAGCCAGCAGCACCAACCACTGTAAGAATTTTGTCCGATTCACCTGAATTAGCTGAAATTCTAACAGTGTATGGCCAGCCTTAGTCTGCTGCTATATACAGTATGATGTAAACCACTTGGACCTTGCACATTCACCTCTGTGAATCCCAGCCATACTAACCTATGAAAAATAGGAAATGACAGAGGGTAAAATGGAGCTGGCTAGACCAGGGCTGGACAAATCCTAGGAGCCAGGTAGCTGATGCTCCTTAAAAATTACAGCTGAGATTTCTCTGGTTGTTGCCAATGGAGCTGGCTCCCAAAAAAAATCCTGCTGGCTGCTGGATTGGACAGACTGGCTCTTGAATTCCATATTAATTTGATCACCTCTGGGTTAGACTACATTTCAGGGTACATTCATTTTCAGCTTCTGAAAGTTGGCATTTGTTTTAGGCTGGGTTCACACCTGGGCGTACCATAGGCACGCTTTTTCTGCTCGTTTTACGGCACGTTTTTTCGTTCAGTGAAACGCGCGTTCGACGCTCGTTTTTATACCTCCCTGGCAGTATGATTTTTTTTACTTTCTTTTCTCTATCTTTTTTTTTTAAACTTTCAAATTTCCCGCCGGTTCCGCCCCCCTGCGACGCGGCCGCTCGCAAGGGACGGAAGCCGGAAGTCGGCAGCGGCCGGAGGACACAGCAGGTATCGCGGACAAGGTAAGTCCTACACTGTATTCCCGAGTGTGGCTCGGGGTTACCACTTTGTTAACCCCGAGCCACACTCAGGAATACCAATGGATACGCGCGGGAAAACGCCCCAAAGAAGCTCCTGTACTTGTTTGGGCGTTTTTCAGCGTGTTTCCACGGGTTGAAATACGCCCAGATGGGAACCATGCCCATAGGGATTCATGGGATTTCACTTGCTGAGCGTTTTTCAGCGTTTCGATCAGCGCTGAAAAACCCCCAGGTGTGAACCCAGCACACAGGGTTCCAGCACCATGTGTTATCTAATTATCACACTGAAAAAATTCATTTATTACACAAGAAAGAGCGACTTAATTACTCTTGTCCTCAGTGTAACCCCCGAAATGTAATGCTTAACCTAAGCCCTAATACTAACCTTAGGGAAGATACATAGAGGGGAATATATCAAAACTGGAGCAGGCAAAATCTGGAGCAGATGTGCATGGCAACCAATCAGCCTCACTCGTTCATTTTCAAACCTTAACTGACCAAACTGAAGAGAGAAGCTGATTGGTTGCCATGGGCAACTGCTCCAGATTTTGATAAATTCCCCCCACAACATCAAACACCATAGCAATAAGTATTACAAATGGCAACACTAGTGGCAAAAATAATGTTACAACAAAAATGTCATGTGGTATATCTACCCTCGGAGACCTGTTTGATCCTGGGGGTCACTTTAAGACCTTCTGTGCCCTTCAACTGTTATACAATCTCCCCGCTACTCACGCCTTCCCATACTTACAGCTACGCCACTTTGTCTCCCATCACCTTCCTCTGCCGTGGCTTGAAATAATCCACTCACCCGTTACTCCTCTACTATCGTCTCCGCAGTCCAAAATGTCATTATCACATCTTGCCAAATCTATCGCTACTGCTATACTTGATTTCTCCAACTGTACACCATCCCACATTAAACGATGGGCTGATTTCCTGCATATAACTGATGAAGACACGGCCTCGATGGTAGAACAGGGATGGGGACAAGTTAGGAAAGCTATCATAAAATGTCATGTGGTGAAGGCTTTGAGTCTACAATGTTCCAAATGAGAGTCTTCATTCTCTTCTCTTTTGCTGGAAGCTGATGACTACACAAAGCAAATGACAGATCTTTTAGTCATGATCTTAACATGTTTCACATACAATCACCTACAAACAGGCGCGTTCTACCATCTAGGCTTGTGGTGCATGCACGTAAGTGGTTAGCTGAGAAAATCCCAAATTTTCACCACTGTTTCTGCCATTGGAAAGGATCATTTGTGTGGTCATCTAAATGGGCTAAAACTGTTTCAGAGCTGAAATTATTTACTTCTTTAATTGTCCCTTTTTAAAACAAAAGTGCTGTATACCACAGGGAATAAAAGTATATAAAAGTCCAAACATGAATAGTTTCTCCTGGCAACAAACTGACAAACACAAAGCTGGTTCTTGGCATATTAGCCAGTGCATTGACCCAAAGAGTTATGTATATTTCTGTATATAGGCTCCCACATTATTGGTGCTGCCGATCATATACTTGCAATGAGCACTGCACCATCTAGTGGCTAAAGGAGAGAAGCACAACCCATTCAGGTTAAAAAGTTGGCCACGGGTGCA